GCCCTAAATCTCGTCAAATCTTATCTAGGGAATAGAAAGCAATGTGTAAGCATTAAAGATAAAAGTTCTTCGCTATTAGACATAAACACCGGTGTTCCGCAGGGAAGTGTGTTAGGCCCCGTGTTATTTAACATCTACGTAAACGACATAGTAAGAGTTAGCGAGAACGTCAAATTTTCAGTTTACGCTGATACCACAACCTTGCTCCTCCAATCCAACGACGTATCTAATCTTAGTATACTAGCTCACGACGCGCCAGAAAAGCTACAGAAATGGAGTGAAGTGAATACTCTTGTTACCAATGCTGCTAAAACAAAAGCTGTTCTATTCAAACCAACTAATAAAAAATACATTCTAGCTTAGACTTACACCTCGGTGACAAAACAATTGGGATTGTACAAGACGTTAAAATCTTGGGGGTCACTTTCAGTGAAGACTAAAACTGGGATTCCCATGTGTATGATGTTGCCAAAAAGCTTGTCAAGGCATGTGGAGTGCTTTCAAAATTCCGAGATATAGTTTCTCCAAATGTTAAACTCCTCAATTATAATGCTTTATTTCACTCGCACATCAATTACTGTACCCTCGTCTGGGGAAACACCACGCAAAAGTACAAATAAAACTTGATCAGGCTACAGAAGAAGGCAATACGACATATCGCAGGTGTTCCATACGACGCTCATACATCAACAATATTTACAACATATAATGCGCTCCAAGTAGAACAACTGTACAATTTCAATCTCTTTGCTAAATACAAACATGGTTTGAAAAGTAAAACCAATTTTCTGACACTGTGTCAGCTCAAAGAGTCACCCGCAACACTTTACAACATAAGGAAAAGAGACACATGGCAAATACCGTTTTGGCGAACGAATTACAGCCTTAAAAGTCCTAAGCATATCATGCCAAACTTTTTGAATCACCTAAACAACAAAGGTATTACGCCTGATACGCTGACAAACAAGCAGTGAAAAGAATATTTAATTAGCAACCCCAGAGAGTCTGAGAATGTGATCAATTTTTTTCGAGTTCATTTTCACTATGTATTATTTTATAATATCATATTCACTTTGATAACTCGTTTGAATAGAAGTGCATTTGTGCCTTTTCGTATGTATATGTACAAACATGAACTGTTTCATGTATTTGTGTTTTCGTTAGGCATACTGTTTCAAGGTAGTGTTTCTTATATATATAAATTATGTTATTTTGTAATTCTTCTCTGTTCTCCCATATTATGCCGGATTCTTTCAGTGTTTGTGATTTTACATTATGTCTGCCGTTGAAGTTTTCTGCTAAATTTGTTGAAATTTCACTTGCTTGTTTTATGCGTTCTTGCACTTTTTCTCTTTTACTTGCTTGTATTTTATTTCATTTTTACATCACCACGTTTCTGCGGCCAATCTGCTCAAGGTCAGGAATCCCGTCAAGCTGCTTTTTAGCAGCCTTTATATCCTGTTCTTGCATCTTTTTCACTTTTTAATCTCATTTACATTTTGTTTTGTGTTGACCATTGCCATTGTATGAAAACATTGAATCACTGTACTTTATTAATATGATTGCTGAAAAAGATTGCTAAAATAAACTGAAACTGAAACTGATGGCTGCCGCACCACAGCCTCCTTAGCAGGGTGGCTCGCTTCTTCATTAGAACAGCCGATGTCTTGGTTTTTGGTACTGCGTGTTCTCCGCCACACGACGAACTCCTTGGTGCGCAGAGCGTTCCTTGTCGTCGTCGTCTCGATCTTATCTGACTGCAACAGTAAAAGTCAACGTTCTACCCACGCTCTCTGTTCCCTTGAGCAGAGCTCTCTCAGCTGCGTAGCTGTTGTTGCTATAGGTGGGAGTGCAAGGCTGGTTGCATGGTGTCCGTCTTGTCTTGTCGGGGCTGCTGCTGCTTGTAAAGGATGTAGACCAGCGCCTTTCGATACATTGCAATAACACGACTTTATGTATAAGAACGTATGTACAAATTTACAAGACTCTTCACCGTTGGAACCGTCACACGTTGCCTCGGCAGAGCCGATAGTGCAGAGCACTCTTTGCTGTGACCAGAACGACCGAGAGGAAACAGATACCAGGTTTTAAACCCTCGGTTGCCCTTTCCAATTCTCTTCACAGCCAACCAAAACACATCAGTTCGTTTATTAGACAGACTAAGACACTTGTTGTAGTCCTCTCCTCTCGCTCTCTTATTCAAGCACTCGACCTCTCGGTCGGAGAGAGAAAGACAAAAGGACCGGCCTGCACACGATGTTCCGCGAACTGCATGAACGCACACGATGGTAATGTCGTTACGGCTGCGGGCCCATACCATTACTGCGAGTTGACTACGCTCCAGCGTGACAGCCGTCCCGTGGACACTAATCCAGATGAATGGGTGTCGATATACCGGATGTCCTCACGTCATCCGCCGGCACTCTGCTGGCCGAGGACCACATAGCTGGTTGTTAAAAGCGGGGACTGACCATGGATTTCTTACGAGAATGGGCGTCCTTACGCCGGAATTATCGTCTTCAAAGTGGTTCTAAGAGAGAAAGGAAGAACAAAGTGAGCCCTGTAACTGTCTGCTTCAGCAAGCGACACCTGAACAGTAGCTCACAAGTGATGGGGGTGAGGAGGGATTAAAAGAATAGGTATAAACGTGTAGAGAGAGAGAAACAGTATGCCAGAGAGCGACGACATATCGAGGGGATAGGAGAGATAGGAAAGATGGAAACACGGTCCCAGGAGTTCGAGGACGGGGCACCACTTGCGAGAGCTCCTGTCGACGTCAGGAGATAGCGTAGAGGAAGTCCAGTCGGTCAGAGCTACACTGTCGGCGGAGGTCGGCGTCAGGAGATGACGTAGGGCGAGCCCAGTCGGCCAAAGCTACGCTGATGTCGGAGATCGCGAGGGCACAATCGGTCGGCACGCAATCCAGCGAGCGAGGATTATCGTCTCCCGAGGATCGGTTCTTAGGGAAGCGCACCCTTTCGCGACAAAGAAGACTCACTCCCCTGGCCTGCCACGCCAGACGTTACAAACACACAGAAGACATTTTACGTCACTAGCTACAGCGCTCGAGTGCGCCGCTCAAAGTAGCCTTGTGCTGCTTTTTCTTGTCTGGTGTACATGAAGAGCCGCGCATTCGTATTACTGCGCCACTTCGATATCATGCCCCACCGCGCTGACTGTAATGTGATCACACGCTGAGCTGTGTCCACCCTGTGCACAGCATTGTACGTAGTTTCCCCCATGCACAACAACAACCACAACTTGATATACGAAGCGCACCCAGAATAACGCTTCCAAAACAGAAAGTTCAACACCAAGCAAGGTTAAGCAAGCGAACTAATGCACTGCGAACCCAAAAACTGTGTAAAGAATGCTTCCGATTATTTCCGAGTAGTGGCACGGCTCTCCTATATTATAAGGCTAAGCTTAGGCAATGCTCTACATTTTCATTTTTTCAGCCTTGAGCTTGACTGTGCCAGTCGGCAAAGACTGTTCATGTCCTTTAGGAGCTGTTAACACAATGACCATACAGACACAACAGTTTTTTATAAGGGAGACGAATCCTGAAGACCACACTAACGCTGCATTCTACAAACGTCGGGTGTCTCTTGTTTCCTTATTTCTTATTTTCTTATTGCTTATTTTCTCATTTTCTTAAAGAACATTGCACATATAAGGAAAATTCAAAAAAGGACAAAAATATTTGTGAGGGCCCCCAGCAGCATTGCGTAAATGCAATCCGATGCACGTCATCACACTACAGAATAGCTCATCGTGCGCTATCGAGTAATAAAGATGTTCGACGTCCACGGAAAAATGTTGACCTGTGAATGGTTATCGCTGAGGAAAAAATATATTAAAAGAATTTTTCATGCCTAAAGGATCATTAATTATTATATTCAAAGATTTTGGGAAAAAGCTGCTGATAAGATATGCTAAGAGTTGCTTTCACACAATATTGCATTGAACACTACTTCTGATTTGTGAGTCTGCAATGAAGAAAGCTTGGGGTCTGTCAGGTAAATTAGAATGGTGAACAATTTTACTGGTCAGCGTTTATAGGGCTTTTTTTATCTACCTGGGAACCCATAGCTGAAGTTATTGGCCTTGATTCGAGTTTCTTTTGGCACAGGTGTTTTCGGCAAGGTTATCAGTCGTAACAATATTAACCTATACATAACAAGAGTCAAGGTGACATAATCGTCGAAGACGCGGCCATTTTAGTTTGAAGATTTATCGCTTGTTCATCAAAAGTGCCCATCAGTGATCCCAAAAGAAAGTTACACCTTGTCTTAGAACTTTAAAACTCACGGTAGTGCGCGCTGTTGCAAAAGTCTCAAATGTATTCTAACCGTCCAATATAACAGACAAAATTATAAAGAGGATGTTAATTACAACAATTGTTCTGTTAATGAGAAAAAGAAAAGCCGATGAAAAACTAACTTGCCGCTGCCGCTATGCAATCTGTGACCTTCGAATTCCAGTTACTTGAATGAACATGTGCAGTAAAATTCCCATGAACAATATGCTAAAGCAATGTAGCACCGAAAAACTTGCGGCTAAATTGTGCCTTTTCGTGGCGCGTACTGATTTTCCGAAGTGTTGCTTTTGGAGTAGAAATCTTGAACTAACTGCGGAGCTAGTAAGCTTTGTCGTGTATTCTTTGAAAGTACCTAAACAATGCATTATCCTGAGAATCGATTTTTTGAATAGAGGCATAACCTTTCCACCTTTCACACTTTAACTACAGTTGGTAAATCAGCAAAGGCGCGTAAAGCACCTCACTGAAAACATAATTAGGAAAGTATTGCTATCTGTCAGTTCTGTATTCACAGTTGCAGTGCCGCCAACGTATACACATTTTCCAGTAATCCAGCCCAAGAGATAAAACTGCAGATTCTGCCGCATGCCCTCAATAAAATATTGCATCACCTAAAAAACACTCCTCATGCTGCGATGAGCATGTCCCCGTGTTTACCAGACATCATGCTCTCTTTCAGTTTTATTCCCGAATCTCCCCGATGGCTCCTTGCAATGGGAAAATACGACCAAGCAAGTGAAGAACTCGAGAAAGCTGCTCGCAAGAACAAGGTGACTGGAGTTTCTGTGGAAGCAATCATCAAACAGTTCAAGGAAAAGATCTCCCTGGTGAGCGTAGTTCAACGATGTTAGCGCGATAGCGTTACGCAGAAATTGCGGCGGGGCTTCGGTGACAGCCTCGTTGCCTGCATGTGAGCGAAAAATCATCTTGCCCGTGACCTAAAACTAGAAAAATATCCCAATGCAATAAATAATAATATTCTTTGGATTTAACTGAAAATTGAACCCAGATTGGCCACTGTGTGGCAAGCGTGTGTTCAACCACAGAACCACACTTTTTCTTCTTGGTACTTATTACATTGGGGTTTCATGTATAAACATATATAGTACGAAATATTCAAGGCGACCTCTATATTGTGCGAAAAGTGTAGGAAAGCAAATTTTATACAGCACTCTGTTCTAAGAAGGAAGTTTTAATGAGAAGAAGGAGGAGAGGTTGACTTTGAAAGTGGGTTTCTATAGCCTTCTCCTCCGCATGGGGTAAGGGGATGATGATGTGTGAAGTTTAACGTCCCAAAACCACCATGGGATTGTGAATGACGCCGTAGTGGACGACTCCTAAAAATTCGATCACCCGATGTTCTTTAACGTGCACCCGAATCTCAGCACACGGCCCTACAGAATTTCTGCCTCCATCGGAAATGCAGCCGCTGCAGCCGGGATTCGATACCGCGACCGGCAAGTCAGCAGCCGAGTACCATAGCCACTAGACCACCACGGCGGGGCTGGGGTAAGGGGAAAATGGAAAGAAAGAGAAGAAAAGTGCATGATAATGGTCGATTGTGATATAGCACTAGGAGTAACTGCACACACTGTGCCGTTCGGTGTAGGACATGCAAGGAAATCTCTACATTAGCACGCGCTCTAAAGACGGGAAGCTAAACCTGTCGTGCTTAGAAATGTCTCTTTCAAAAGCATATCAGGGCAGTGGATTTCAAGAACAGCGAATACCACTCCTGCTTGAACTGTAGTTGTTCATGAAATTATCGTAGCTGTATAGTCAATTGTGCGGAATGTGACCGCAATAACACTAATAGTTCCACATATGCTAGTCTTGATTGATTGATATGGGGGTTTAACGTCCCAGAACCACCATATGATTATGAGAGACGCCGTAGTGAAGGGCTCCGATTATTTCGACCACCTGGAGTTCCTTAACTTGCACCCAAATCTGAGCACACGGGCGTACATTTCCGCCTTCATCGGAAGTGCAGCCGCCGCAGCCGGGATTCGAACCCATGACCTGCGGGTCAGCAGCCAAGTACCATAGCCACTAGACCAACGCGGCGGGACACTTATGCTAGTCTAACGTTCCAGTTTTTTTTCAATGAATTGTGCAGGCCCATTAACTACACCATGTACACAGGCATAACATGGCTTGCTTTTGGGTGGCAAGTGTAAACGTATGCTATGAGAATTTGAATCAAATTTTTTTATTAGCTCCTTTGAGGACGTCCCAAATGAGTGTACCGCCCTTTAAAGTAACACAAAAATTTCTGATTATTGTGAAACTTCACAGAGGCGGCAAATAATTGAGGATACAAAGAAGTCGTAGCCGCTTAACCAGGCCTCAACAACTGGGTATACTGTTTTTGTGTGCAATTCGTAGAAAAATGTCTGCGATATTGGCGAAATGGGTGTTTTCGTCACGCGTAAAAACACGTGATGTCCAAGCTATCTAATTTATGGCGTGTGGTGCACTCATGTGAGAAATTACGTATTGTGATTGTTATTATACATATACTTACTTTAGCAACATAATAAGCAAAGAGTAGAAAATCTAACTTTCTTAAAATGCATTGATTCGTATACTTTGGGAATGCATCCGTACAATAGGGAGGAGAAGCAAAATTAGTAAACAGCAAACTTGGTGAAGCATCAGAGAAATTCACTTGTAGAACTGTTCTAAGCAGAGGATGAGTACAGTCCCGAAAGTAGAAGAAACCAGACGTCTATTTTCTACCAAAGACATGAACCAGCTTAAATACACTGTAGCAAAATTGTCTGGAAACGTCACGCATCATTGATTCGTTGGTTGATGACAAAAAAAAATGGCAGATCTTACATACGTACAGTGGGAATCGGTGATATGCGAAGCACGAATGAGAAAGCTTGATATGTCACCTAAAATCAGCACAACTTTACGAGGTGCATGGATGTAGTTCACAGTAAACACAAATAGAAATATTATGCGCTCTCAGGTATCTACATAGGATGCACGTATATTGCTTATAGTCGCAAAACCATGGTACTACTAACGTTTGCGATACCAGCAGCAGCAGTGGCGGGCACGTGAATTGTGCCTTTCGTGTCTTGATTATTATGTTTTCGCGTGTCATTTATGTTCGTCGTTCACTCAGTTCACCTAATACCAAACTTGGTATATGTGAAGCTAGTGAAACGAATGCGAGCGCGCTATAAGCATAGCATGTGGTGATTTTTTACTTGATACGCATATCATAATAATCATTTTTAAACGTGTCCCTTACCTTCGTCGCACATTCCCGTCACGTCATACCAAATTTGGTATAGGTTAAGCTAGCGTAACGTCCGCGAGCGCATCGTAAGCGTGGCATATAGTCATATTCCTACGTGACTCGCATGTCATGATTATCATATTGACACAAGTATATAACTTAGTCATCCATTCACGTCACATAATAACAACCTTGGTATATATGATGCTAGCGAAACGGCCGCGAGCGCACTATGAGCGTAGCATGTAGTCATGCTCTTACTAGACACACACGCAATGATTATCATGTTTGGACGTGTCATTTACCTTAGTCATCTATTCACGTCACGCAATACCCAATACGGTATATATCAAGCTAGCGAAACAGGCGTGAGCGTACTATGAGCATAGCATGTAGCCATGTACAAGTGCCACGCACATCGTGAATATCATGCTTGCACCAGTCATATGCCTGCGTCATCTATTGACGCCAGGTAATACCAAACTAGGTATATGTGAAGCTAGCGAAAGATTGATACGTGGTGTTTAACGTCCCAAAACCACTCTATGATTATGAGAGACTCCGTAGTAGAGAGCTTCGGAAATTTAGAGCACCTGGCTACTTTTACGTGCACCCAAACCTGAGCCCACGGGCCTACAGCATTTTCGTCTCCGTCGAAAGTGCAGCCGCCGTAGCCGGCATTCGATCCGGTGACCTACGGGTCAGCAGCCGAGTACTTTAACCACTAGACCATCGCAGCGAGGCTATGAAGCTAGCGAAACGACCGTGAGCGCACCATCAGCGTATGACGTGTAGTCATGACTTACACGACATGCACATCATTGTTGAAGCCTGTCACTTATGTTCGCCATGCAGTCATGCCATACCATACCAGATTTGCAATATGTAATTGGAACGAAACCACCGCAAGAGCACCAAAACCACGACATGGAAATCATTCCATTCATGATATATCTGTCATGTTTTTCATGTTATGTGCAGTCAATTATGCCCGTAATACAGTCATGTTATGCCATATCAATTTTGGAATTTTGGTATAGATGCGATCATCAAACGGCTAAGAGAGCTAAGAGTCATAGATAGATAAATAGATAGATAGATAGATAGATAGATAGATAGATAGATAGATAGATAGATAGATAGATAGATAGATAGATAGATAGATAGATAGATAGATAGATAGATAGATAGATAGACAGACAGACAGGCAGACAGACAGACAGATAGATAGATAGATAGATAGATAGATAGATAGATAGATAGATAGACAGATAGATAGATAGATAGATAGATAGGTAGATAGATAGATAGATAGATAGATAGATAGATAGATAGATAGATAGATAGATAGATAGATAGATAGATAGATAGATAGATAGATAGATAGACAGACAGACAGACAGACAGACAGACAGACAGACAGACAGATAGATAGATAGATAGATAGATAGATAGATAGATAGATAGATAGATAGATAGATAGATAGATAGATAGATAGATAGATAGATAGATAGATAGATAGACAGACAGACAGACAGACAGACAGACAGACAGACAGACAGATAGATAGATAGATAGATGGATAGATAGATAGATAGATAGATAGATAGATAGATAGATAGATAGATAGATAGATAGATAGATAGATAGATAGATAGATAGATAGATAGATAGATAGATAGATAGATAGATAGATAGATAGATGTCGCTGAAGTTCGCTGAGAAATGCTTCGCATTATTTCTGTAGCAAATATTTTGGTTGCAGCGTGTCAGTGCGTGATTTTTTCGACGCGGTGACACGCCCTGTCCTCGTGGAGAGAGACGCCACTTCGCGTAGCCGGGCGCGCTCTCTCCATAAAAAGAAGGTGTGGCGCCACATCGAAAAGCCACGCGCTGACGCATTGCAACAGACTGTGTGGTGAGGCCTGGCTGACGCTCTTTTCGCCCACTTCACACCTCCGTGAAAGCTACTAGCGAGATCAAGCGAGATCAAGGCTCAAAAGGAGCATGCAGCCGCAAAGCACTGCTAGAATCGCACGCCGAAAGTTATCCTCATCGGCTTCAGCATGTGGGTAATGAAGTCCTGCGCGAACGGGAGGCGTTCGAGCGCAGCATGCGGCACGCCGGGCTTTCGGAAAAATAGATGCAGCCCTTGGTCCAAGAAATGCAGTTGGACCGAGCCCGTGAAGCGGCTGTAAAACGACGAATTGGGCAACCTCACCTCAACATCGGTGCCAAAAGACTCTCAATTACCGAGTGCACTTTCATACATAGATGCTGCGTATGCAGTACAATCTGCTTAAAGACCGATTGGTCTCACATCAGTGGTATTCGCAACAAGGGAAAACAAGAACTCGCAGTCAGAGTGCTCAAGAAAGCGTTCCCTAGTGCGGATGAGCACGCCGAGTTTGACTTGTGTTGGACGTGCAACAGAATGCTTGTGCGGGACAAGGTGATGAACGTCGTCTGGTACCCGCCGAAACCACATCAATCGGCGAGGCAAATCTCGTCGAAGAGCGGTTAATCTCACTCCGAATCCCCTTCAAGTACCTTTGTCACCTCACCGAGTTAGAAAGACAGTGCGGTGTCAAGGGACAGAGTTTCATCGTGCCTATGGACGTTTCAAAGATGTGCAGTTGCTTGCCGCGTAGCCTGTAAAACGATGTCGCTATGCACATCAACATTAAGCTGTTTCACAACTTAGTCAAATTTTGTGGTAGAAAGTTCTAATCAAGCCCACCAAGGTCCCCTGCACAAGCATTAGACCATCTACTTCAAGACCAAGCTAAAGCCGAAAATTCTCGATAAAAAGGACTTTAATAAACCGTTTCAAAATGTACATAGTCGATTTTCAGCCTCTTATTTTTTACTTGACGATGAACTGTAGCGCTGAATACTGAATCCCACTCAAATTATGAGGACCATATTTCTTGGTTGTATCTTTGCTTAAGCCCCTGTCGTGACCAGCTGAGGCTGCACTTCTTCATTTATTTTATTTATTTTCATAATCTCAGGGCCCGACAGCATTACAGAGAGGAGTGGTTGAACAATATGTTAATGATTGAAGCTTTGAAGGCGGCAGGTTCTCTGATCGCAGCGACGGAAGAAACAGGTGGTTCTAGTCACTGCCTGTTTGTGGCAGAAAAGAAGCATAACAAGTGTTAGTGCGGCATAAGGAAACTTTGACTTTAGGGTACGATCCAACCGTGGAGATGACTCCACGGTTATATGACTCGTACTACTCGCAAATGTAAAATCCTGCAAATATGGATAGTTGTCACATTCGTCAAAGATGCACAGTAAGCGGTGGAATACTACAATAAGACATCGCCTAACCAAACCGTCGAACTTCACAGAGCATAGGAACGTCTCGCTGGTTAAATTGTGCACTACACGCTAAGCGCATTCAGAGAGAAAAAAGGTGATATGCTCATGTGAAAGAATTTCTCCAACATTCGCCAGAGCAAGTGTGGTCAAGTTCTTTCTGGCTACCTGTGACACTTCGTTAGAAATTACGGATGTTCGCCACGAATGATATAGTAGCCCGGTGAGATGGCTCTGCTGGCGAGCACTATGCACTGAGTCGGTGAGCTTGTTCGGGCTATCGAAAGAGCGCAAAATTCAAATTACGCTCAATCATGCATTGATAGTCATACAAGCTTTTTTAGCAATCATTTCTTTATTTGTGCACATATGTTTTTAGGAACAAAAACCGAAATAGTACAAATATTTACCTATATAATTCAGCTAATGACCTTTTCATGTAGAAAGTGACTTTAGCAAGATTTTTCAAGCTTGAAACTGCAGTACGACAAACTTAACAGACATGCCATTCGTGTTGCGAGACATTTCACACATTTTGTTTGAATGGCGATAGCAATTATATTTATTATACTCAAACTCTCGGCTCAATCTTGCCGCCGGCATCGGCATCAGCATCACCATCACTTGTCCTACATGTATACGTTTCTATACATAAGAAAACGCAGGAAAGAAAAAAATCCTGTAAAAGATTCCGGCGCGCGGATTCGAACGGGGGACCTCCGAGTCATGAATGCGAGGCGTTAATCACTGAGCCACGGAGAAGCTTTTCTTTCTCTTTATTACTGAGCCACGGAAAAGCACGTTCTTTTATGGTCAAACAGCAAGCTATTTATATCTACCACTATACCACTGGTGATGGGCATCTCGGAGAAGGGTGGGAACTATCGTGTTTTCAGCATTACCAGCAAGATGGCGCAATGGCGCGCGGAGGTGCGCGCTCTAATTTCCCAAGCGTATTTTGTCCCACAGGTGGATGCTCACTCACGCCCCTTTATCTCGCGGCGAGAAGGATCGTATGTCTTGGCTGCCCTCTGGCTTTCAACAGAACGATTCTGTTGTATAGTTACCAGGCGCACAAAGGCCACTGCAATCATGCACAGTATCCGTTTGCAAAAAGAGCGCGGTTTTCAGACAAAGAAAAGTAACTACTGAGACCCTGATTCACATTCACCTGTACCTGTGAGTACGTTTCGTGCGTTATTTGTGCGTGAGAAATGCGGGGCACGTTTCTATCTGCTTGCCATTCTGCGCGTGACCTTTCCATTTGTTTCTATCGCGTTCATTGCTTCATCTTTGAGGCAAAGCTGTGACTTTTCTCTTGACAAACGTGTCCCCACACTGCCAGCATTTATGTTGCGTTTGACATCGCTTTTTTTTGCTGCTTCTCACATAACTATTGCTAAACAGCTCTGACGTTCTGACAACCAGTGTGCTTTGTTATGTCGTCGTTGCTTTGTACTCGTTGAGCAGCACGGTATAACAATTGTGTCATTCGCAATACTCTAGGTCAGCATCGTGTTGTTGCGTAGCTGAGTGCTTAGGAGGAAAAGAGATGACTGGTTTCTCTTTTGTCCTGCCCTTAGACATCTCAAGTGGTCATAATAACGACAGCTATTTGTCACGTGTGTGCAAGAGTTATTCACTGTCATACAGTATATATGAGACCACTCAAATGAGCTGCCTAACCAGAGTGCGACATAAAGTGAGTTTTAACCACAGAGTCTGGTTTTCGAAGAGGTGTATGCGACATGAGATTAAGGTGGCGTAGTGCAGACGCACGATACAAAATTATGAACAACATGTAAAGTACAAAATGGATCCTTAGTCCATGTATGTGCCCGTCAAATTACGGTAGAGTAAATTTCTGTTCACGCTTAGTGTGTCATGCAATTCTTCGTTTCGCGCTTCTTGCCTCCGTGCTTTACGACCTTAAGGCCGTCAACCAAACAGCCCACATTTCCACTATTTTAGAACGTATTAGTCGAGGATAGACATATCAAACTTTTATAATAGAAGGCAGTAATGCGTGTTCGCTTCCTCGGATCTTATTTCTAGAAACGACTCCCGAGTAAAAGCTGCTCATGAAGTGCAATGTATAAATTCCGAGGTTAGCTTATTGTCAACAAAAAAAAAACTTTGATGTGTGAGATGCAGTTCGCATAATTTTTCTTGGTGTGCCAACAATTTACGCGAATTTTTATGCTGGCAGCGATTGTGCCGTCGTTGTGGGTTTCGGGCAGAATGCGTCTATTAAAACACTCCAACGTTATTTTAATCCCATACAATGTTGTCTTAGTGTCTTTTGTATAGTTAAATTAAGGTAAATAGGCAGATTTAACTTTATTATTATTATTTCGGAATCATTTTGTTATTCTAGTGACGTACGGCTGCACGTTTCGGCCGATTCCTCTGAGTAGGTATGAGTCATATTTAAGGCGTCATCAACATCATCATCAACGCAATCTGCCACACTATATCTGCCTTTTCCGGATCTCAATTGAAGACCTCAACGACCAAGTACATCTTTTTGAACCACTACTTCAAGTGAGCCCGACTTATCAGGCGAGAAACACCACATTTAGAAATATGTACGCCATATGTAAGCAGCTTCATGACGCTGCGTAGGTTTTGCGCAGCGGTGGTTTGCTTAAGAAATTTCTGTTCCAGCTCGTGCTTTAGAACCTTTGGAGCCTAATAATATACTTGCATTGGCAATGACAAAAAAGCTTTTTGCTGCAGTTTTTGTGTTTTATAATTACAGGACAAGCTTGCAACGAAGCCCACGTTCACGGCTCTCTTCCGATCAAGATGCATTCGAATGACCTCATGTCTCCTCTCTGCCAAGTCGTAAGCTCCTCGCCAATTACGGTGAAAAATAGCGTGTGTAGTTCGTTATTCACATTCTCGGCCATATAAAGGCGCTTATCACCAGCTCTGTAATCAATCTTTCCAGTAATTCTCCATAAGTCACCACTACCCGGTGAAGTGTGGTGAAGTGCTATATTTTGTGTTCTTTCAGAGACGTGACTGTGGGGGGGGGGGGGGGGGGGGCGGTAGAAAATTGCTGAGGAGGAAGGAGAAGCTTGGGTGTGGCTTGATGGAGGCAACTGTGCTTTTTCACCGCTCTTCTGATGCCCATATATGTGAAACGCTGGAAATAAATTCTCCCAGCTGTGTTAACATAATAATAATAATAATAATAATAATAATAATAATAATAATAATAATAATAATAATAATAATAATAATAATAATAATAATAATAATAATATCTATCTGGGTATTAACGTTCCCAAACCACCATGTGATTATGGAGACGCCGTAGGGAAGGACTCCGAATTCTTCGACCCCCTGGGGTTCTTTAACATGAACCCAAATCTGTACACACAGTCCTACACCATCTTCCACTCCATCGAAAGCAGTGTTATCATAAGTATTCGTGACCACCTTGAAAACGTTCCTCTTCACCAAACTATGTATTTTATTTAGCAATACTGCTAGCCCCAACTTGGGGCCATAGCAGAGTGGGTGTACATAGTACAACAAAATCAACAGTACAATACTGCAGTCAACACAGAACAAAGCACTTCAAACAACATAAAAAATGTTTCACGAAGAAAAAAAAACACTAGTCAGATATAAATTTTTCAAATGCCTCGATACTGTCTGTTTCAATAATTTTGCTGTCAAGCTCATTCCATTCTTTGGCAGTGCGCGGAAAAAAAGGAATACTTGAAAGTATTATTATTGGGCTGGAAAGGAACGACAGTGTGTTTATGACGTTGTCTGGTAGAGTAACCGGAAGAGAACTTTAAGTATTCACCTGTGTTACTATTTATTCGACCATTAACTATCTATTTATTCGACCATTAACTATTTTGTACTAAGATACGTTGGCATTATGAATTGAGCAGTTATTACGCAGCCTGGACAACTCCTTATGGGTTCAGCCACCATGAAACATCTTTCATTCTATCGTTTCTTTTAGTTTTCTCTTATTTCATTGATGTAAGGGCCTAAACTGGTCTGGTGGGAGATGGCACAACAATGACACAAACCGAAAAAAAAATTCTTCAAGACGCAACAGATAGAAAACTAATTAGGCGGACTAAATATTTGAACGCACACACATAAAGTGGTAATATGCACTCATTCGTTAATGCGCTAGTATTCCTGGCAGGAACCGATATACTGCAGGTGGACTTTTCAATCGCTCATACACTTTCCACGTGTTCCGTCTTCTGCCAATCGGCATTCGTTGAAGAAGGCCATGTTGCGGCGGCTGCATTTCCGATGGAGGCGGAAATGTTGTAGGCGCGTGTGCTCAGATTTGGGTCCACGTTAAAGAACCCCAAGTGGTCGAAATTTCCGGAGCCCTCCACTACGGCGTCTCTCATAATCATATGGTGGTTTTGGGACGTTAAATCCCACATATCAATCAAAGAAGGCCATGTCTTTCGATGTACCATGGTGCAGGGTGTTGGACACGCTGGTGTACTACAACCTGACTTACTCAAGCATCCTGCTTGGGGACCCGTACCTTAGCTTTGCGCTAGTCGCTGTGGCCGAGTACCCGGGCCGACTTCTCGGCGTGGCCTGTGTGAACTACTTGCATCGAAGGACCGCCTACATCGCTCTGTACTCCTTTGCGTCCCTCTGTTCGGCGGCCGCCATCTTTGTGCCGGCGGGTAAGTGCATGTTTAGCGACAAGGAATTGTTTAAATCTGAACGTATCATGAAGTGGTGCATCCTCATTCAACCCTTACGGCACTTACCAACGAATATTTCACGACGCGGCGCCACACCAGTGGCTCGCAGTGGTGGGCTAGTCGTACATTTATGGCGCTGGAATAACTAATGTTCAGTGCTAAGTCCAAATTATGCAGAAGTAAATAACCCTTGTGTACATCGGTAAAACCTCCACGGTAAATGAGTAACCCTTTTGCGCGAAAGACGTCATGCTCTCCGCTGAGGCTTGAGCCGACTGGTTTTTTTATGAAAGCAAGATTCTGACCTCAAATTTCACGAGCCCAGAAAGCTGTGAGAACGCTTTAACAGCGCGCAAAGGAGTCGATATGTACCTAAAGCTGTTCTCGGCGCATGTACCCTCGGTTCTCATGAGCTCCTCCAGCCCACTTCCCAGGTGAAGGATGCTAAAGTTCACAAGGTGTAGCTAGCCTTATTGCTATATTATTTACACCATTCCTGTCTATGTGCACATTTACACTATTCCTGTCTATGTTATATACGGTGGTCATTTTATTTGAATGAAGCTGCGTGCACCGGCGTCAGGCCACACCTCGTTGGTATTTAAAGCCGACGAATTTATAAAGCATTTAACTAAAGGCGATGGAGACAGTCTATACTTAGTCCACCTCCGCCCTAAAATAAATGGACATAAAACAAATCAGAATACCTGAGAGAAGTGCGTAACTTTCTTTAAAGCTAAAACTGGCCCTTGTAAAAATAGAAGTTCGTTCAATTCCAGCAGCGGCTTCACGTCGTTCTCACGCTACGTCGCATGCGTTGGTGCTCCTTCATTTGGCGCTCTTTTTCCTTCCAGTTCATATAATGGTCTACTCCTGATCTTGAAGCAAAAAAAACACAACAGAAAAAGCCTATTGCGCACTTTATGCAATATACAGCCGGTTATCATTCTTCGAAGTGTCGGTGTACAAAAAACAATTGGCCCCGTATCTGCATGCAATCTGCAAATGTCGTCGAAAGGCGATAGTCTTGTGTGTGGTGAGAGTGAACAAAACATTTATTTGATGTTCTGCGCAAGAAAATCGGTGAATGGTATTCCGGAGGCGCTGCGTTAAAGTGCCTCCAGCGTGAAGCGGAGGCGAACGAGCGCATAAAGTGAAATCACAAGTGAGACGTTAGCGCGATCAGACAATTTTCTTTTTTTGAAAACAAAGCGCGTGGCCCTAAGACGGGCGTGTGCGCCCGTCTGAGAAGTGATAAGGTGTGGAACGCAAGGCGACACGTAAGGGCCACCACCGTGTCAATTTAGCAAAGCGTTAGAAACAGTTGCCTTTTCGCGCAAGCGTTGCATGGTCAGCGCCGCGTGATAAACGCTACCGCCCTTATAATTACTTATGTATACCTTTTCTAGTGAAAGACGCACTTGCAGACTATATACGTGTTGTTATGGTGCCTCAGATATGCGCAATAATTGCTTTTATTTGACAATCACACACGTATGAACGCTGAATCTTGAGCAACATTGGTGGGCACTGCGGATGGGGTCGGCCGTTTGGTGTATCGGCTGGTGCTGTTTAGAGTACCCGTTGTGCGGTAAGAGTGAACAAAAAGACAAATATACAGGCAGACAGACCAACGCTTTTGTGTCGAAGCTCCCCAAGAAAGACTATCGTCTTTAATAAAGCAGTGAAATTTCTTTGCGCACCTGAACCGTATGCTCAAAAAGTGTCATCAAAATGGGGCTATCACAAAGTATGCATATTGGAAGAACGTTTTGTTGAATTTCGCGGAGTAAAAATTGCTCTTTTATAGCACTCCTTAAAAGACACCTGAAGACTTCTGATTTCCAATCGTAGTTTGTGATTGGGTCTGGCGAAGGCTTCTTTGTTTGCCAACAAGTGGTTCAATCAGACTGTGAGTGCTAGTTTCTCCTAAGTCTAATGGTCATTGTAGTTATATCCCATGATTACATTTTACGTCGTAGGCGACTTGCATTCAGAAATATAAAATACTTTAGGAATGCTGATGAGCAAACATTGTTCAATTACTATAATTTTAATATCGCCAGAGAAACTACTAAAATCTGTAGTAACAATTGTGGAGCCAAATATTTTTTGCGACATAAATCTGCTGTCATTATCATACACACATAGCTGTATAACTAGTTCCTTGTAGTACAGCAGCCCACACTAGTTTTACCAGCTTCCGCGTAGTCAGAGCTAAGAAGCAGTTAAAAGCGCAAAGGGTTAGTAAGCGTGCGACTTAGACTTTGTATTTAAGGGTGTATATGTTGCGCAAGTACAGCGAATGGCAAAAATGGTCTCTTTCGCAGAGGCCTCGTGGGCACTGATGGTGGGTGCTCTGTTGGCCAAGATTGGCCTCATAGCGGCCCACTGCGTCAACGTGGTGCAGATGTCCGAACTCTATCCGACCAAGCTGCGCACCACCGCCATGGGCTTCACGATCACCACGAGCCGTATCGGTGCCATACTGGCACCCTTCACCAAAGAGCTGGTATGTATACACTCTGAACACTGAAAATCCTGCAGTAAGAATTAAACAGCTTTATTACTGCCGCAGATCTCATTATGCACTACTGTGTTTTGCCGTTGGTGTCGCCATAATGCCCTGTATATATATATATATATATATATATATATATATATATATATATATATATATATATATATATATATATATATATATATATATATATATATATATGTTGCCACGCTGTGTTAGTGGCAGAAGAGGAGAGCAAAGTGAATGGCTGGTGTGCCTGAGTAAACAGTTGTCCTCTTCAAGTTAATGTTCATTGTTTCCTCTCGTGACAGACTGGTGGAGGTGCTGGGTACTGTACGGCAGCGTCTTATGTCTGCTGGTCTTGAACTAGAAGCAACCACCACCAGTGAACCAAGGTCTGGTAATATTCATTGAAGCAGCCGCGACCTTCAAGAACTACCACCACAGTACGGCCTCTTGGCAACTTCCGTGAGGACAATGTTTGCCACATCCGCAACCCAAACCGAGCATGACCCATTCCCTAGCGTACCCTGTGTCATCAACATGTCTCGCACACCCAACCCATTCCATGGTGATGCCAGTGAGAATGTCGAAAACTGGCTTGACCATTTCGACCGGGTCGCTGCCATCAACGACTGAGACAATCGCCGTAAATTGAAGAACGTGTACGTCTGCCTCTTAGACGCGGCAAGAGTGTGGTAGGAGAACCACGAAACTTCCTTCACAAGTTGGCAGGAATTCCATCGGTAGCTGCGCGAGGTGTTCAGTAACCCCGAACGGAAAGAGAGAGCGGAGCCGGCACTTTTTTCTCCGTTTTAAATGCCGGACGAGAGCGTCGCCATGTTTTTCAAAGAGTTGTCGCGATTGTTTCGACGGGCTGACCCCCACATGCCAGAAGACAAGAAGGTGCACCAGGTAATGCTAGGCGTAAAGGAGAAACCTTTCGCGGGACTTGTACGCAACCCTCCTACGACTGTGTCGGAATTCATACGTGAGGCCCCAAATATGGAGCGCATGATTCGGCAGCGGTTGTCAGCGTCAGACGGTCATGTCCGCTTAGTGCTCGCTTGTACCAGGTGGTGATAACAGGGAGGTCTTCACAGAACTCATACGGCAAGTTGTACGCGAAGAACTTCGGAAATCTCACGCAGCGTCACCTTCCAGTAGCGCTGCTCTTACGGACGTTGTTCGTAATGAAATCAGGCAGTTCGTTAAATTCTCACCACCAAGGCAAGCCCGACCTCCCACCCTTTTCTACACATATGCCCTACGCATCTTTATGCCGTCGACGGCACATTTTGCTCATCCACCTGCTGGGACCCCCAAGTGCTTTCCAAGTCCAGCCCATAGCCCGCCTTCTCAGGCCAATTTTCATCCTGGCCCACGGAAATACACCGTCTGGTGTGCACCTGACAATCGTACTTTGTGATAGCATTGTGGCGAAGTTGGACACATGTTCCGCGACTGTTACTACCGACGAATAGGCCTACGCGGATGCCACCCAGATGCCCTTTGTTGAGGCTATGGTTAGCGCCTGCAAGAAATTGCGGAATACTTGGAAGGTAGCCATCACGCTACTGTCCCGCCGCGACGACAGTCACGGTCACCATCACCCCGTCCTTCCGCATCAAGGCACCGCGCCCGACCCGCCTTAGGGTCCCCTGGTGTCAGTGGCACAAGCCCACGCCAGGGGAAACTGCAAACAGTGACTTCCGGAGATGGAGCCGCTGTCACGCGAACCGACAAAAACCCTCCGCCGCTGCCTTACGACGTACAGTTAAAGCCTGTTTCTTAAACCGCCAACAGAACGTCCGCTGCCATTACCATTTCCGTCGACTGTTATCCAGTGACTGCGCTTGTCGACACGGGAGCTGACTACTCGGTGATGAGTGCTTCGTTGGCCACCCGTCTACACAAGGCGCTGACAACGTGGGACGGCCCTCAACTAATCAGCGCTGGATAACACCTCGTATATCCTATAGAAAGGTCAACTGCCAGGCTAGAGATTTGTGCATCGGCTTTGTAGCGTCATTCCTGGTACTGCCCAATTGTTCTCGGCCGCTAATTTTAGGCATGGATTTTCTGCCAGAGTATAGAGCAATAATAAATCTGCGTGATTTGTTCGTCAGTTTTGCTAACTGTGTTTCTCCACATTCCGACATCGAGAACGAGCATCGTGGCATGGCCTTACGTGTATTTGATGATTGCGTCACGTTGCCTCCTCACAGTAGTATCTTCGTGCTTGTTGAATGTCCACGGGAGCAGTCAATCACAGGCATCGCCTAACCTGACGTTATTGCTTGATCGGGAAGTCAGCATTGCTCGAAGTCTCGTTCAAGTCCGAAATGGCCAGACTACGCTTTTGTTACGAACTTCAGTGGCGAATACACGCATTTTGCGAAATGCACAACCATAGCTTACTTGAAGGCATTGGATGATTTGGACGCCTTCCTTTTGATTAAGACGATCCCGACTGAGAACAGCTGTGATACTGACGTGACTAGTCGTCTCAACGTCAATCGCCAGTTAGAAGAACCTAAGAGGGCAAGGCTCCTCAGTCTCCTCTCATCCTTGAGCGACTGTTTTGCCACTACTTCGAAAGTGCAGCAGACCCCTCTTATGAAAAAGAATTTTGAGAGTCTAACGTACACCTAATGCACATTTATTGAGTGACTAGATGGACACTACATCTGCAAAGTCTAATGTCTCTTAGCATCAGGTGTGCAATGGAGACTCAGATGACAACATGCACCAGAATTTCTGATGATCAAAGTACAGATATTTTCCATTGCGTGTCCAAATGTCAAGACATATCACAACGAAGAAATTCACGTAAATCTTTTATAGCCAATAAAAACTCAATTTTGTTTTACTAAACGTAATTATCGAGGAAACTTTAGATCCCAAAACCACTTTATGATTAAGAGGAATGCCGTAGTGGAGTGCTTCAGAAATTCCTACGACCTGTGATTTCTTAACGTGCACCTAAATCCAATTCGAGTTCTTGCTGATCTCAACATTCATGTTCATGTTGTTGTCCAGAAATCTAAAACGCCAAACAGTTTGTAATACCATTGATTTTTAGATCATGTTTCAGTAAACATAACATTGATATTACGAGAATGTCTGCGTACACATGCCTGACTGTATGTTAGCTAGATCATATTATTATTATTATTATTATTATTATTATTATTATTAATATTGCTGAGATATTCGTGCCAAAAGTGCGATGTGGAGGAAAACTTTAATGGGGCATTCCGAGGTGATTTCCACCACCTTCCGCGCATAAATTTTGTATATATATTTAAAACTAACAAGCATAAGGTCGATCGCTCACGGTGAAGCGATACCCTAAACATAGACTTGCCAAAAGGACTTGTTTTTGGACTAGTTGGTGCATACTTGGTGCAGAAGACTGAGGCGCAAAAAAACATAACGTGAAGCAGGAAGAGCAGGAGAGAAGACAGAAAAGCGCTGTTCTGTCTTCTCTCCTGCTTCACGTTATGTTTTTTGCGCCTCAGTCTTCTGCACCATAGACGTGCCACTTTTTCATTTGCCCCGAGGGGGATGGTTACATTAGCCGATCAGTGAACACCGAGGGTAGCACAGGAGGTAAACTTATTTTATCGTTGTAGTGAGCATTTGGAAGCTTATTTAAATATTAGATACACTTTTACAATAATAATATGGCTAGGAGCGGCAACTGCCAACATGTGCGCCCCTCGCCCCCCCCCCCCCTCCCCGCCACTGGTAGGTAGTGGCGAGCGAAGGAGCGATGGAGAGGGAGAGAGAAGGATTAATGCGCAGCCATGCCTCTCACCCTGCTAGCTGTCACGCAGACAGTGGTGTAGGTAAACAAAGAAAAAACATGGGGAGGGGAAGAGAAAGAACACTTCGTGGATCTCGGGGGGAAGAGGGGGCAGGCAAGTAGTCATTTTTCTTTATGTATGACACCACGAGAAAAAACATTTCTCTAGAAGGGCGGGGAGAGTGCGGGTTCACGCGCTGGGTGTGCTAGCCCCTGGCTACGCTACTGCGTAGTGAGGTAAAGAAGGCGACAACCAGTCAGATACCTTTTTTCTTTATTAAGCAGGAATGCAAGCCATACATGGTTTTCTACACACCAGCAAAGCCATTGCCACGAAAACATTGCCTTTGAGATCTGTACTTATTGGCAACAGAGAGACTCAGAAATGACGACCGCTTTTGACAAGAGTTGCGAAATTTGTTTGTTTTGCAAAACAAACACAACTGGAAAACTAAATATATTAAAACTAGTAATAAAGCTTGATTTGGCATCAAAAGTTCAAATTGCATTTGATTGTTATTGTAAAATTACTTCTATAACGACTTGATAGTGCTGCCACCTGCACACTTAATTTGGTTAAGCATGTAAATCAGCAGTTGCAACACGCCTCATTGTACTGCAGGCTCACCACCACCTTCAAGCGTGCACATGTGCAAGTCCGCGGTTATATAATTGCCGTGTTGATAGATATTGCATGCATTCTATGCATATCGTCCTTTGTAATTTGTCTACTGGATAGTTTCTGTGCGTCGGGAAGTTCTCATGCATTTATCCAGGGGCGGAAGATGCCTCGCCGTACTACGTTGCCGCTCCAAATGGCCTCATCGGACGTGCGCTTTTGTGTCCGCTGTCAAAAGTCATTTCTTCCTTCCTTTATCGATTACTCGTGTTGTTCACGTGATTCAATGTCGAGTGTACTTCTGAAGACAATCAACGACTCCGTGTTGTGACAAGCAGTGACTGGTGTTATATAAGAGCGAAAGCGTGAGCCTTTTGACGGGTGACTGAAGAGTGCACAGCCAATGTCAAACTTCGGTAAGTTGGAAAAAGTTGCTGAACTACGTAACTGGGTTACTTGATTGCGTGACGACTGGTATGCAGGAACCGATGCCCCGGACGGCGTGTTGGCACAGTGAGGATGATGGGCCAGAGATCTGATAGGCAGGTATGTCTTGAGGTGGCTTAATTTACATCACCGTAAGAACCAGTCGCTGTTCGCAATGATTACATGTTTTAAAGATTCGCCTTGCGCTACGCGATCTATCCTTCGGTCATGAAAGCCTAGTGCCAGGCTGTTATTCCTTGGCTTTTTACTGCACGAGATTATGCTTTGATTCCTTGTCGCCGTGTAAAAGAAGTGTCTAATTTTAAAAATACAGGTGTCACCAGACCAGTTCACGTTCACACAACTCGATAGTCTGTGCGTTATTACGCTCAATACTACCATATGACTGGGCACGTAGATAAAAAAACACACAGCCCTTTCAAGCACACATTATGGATATGTTTTTGTGGTTGCACCCCGAAACTTTTTGTTGAGAAATCCACGCAATTCCTCTGTGGTTAAGATTTCAACCTAGAAGCCTCATAAATATTTCAAGAGAGCTAACTTGAAGTATATGTATTTCAATAAACTGCAGTATGTGCTGAAACTAACAGTACACTCCTACCACTGCTTTGCAGATATGTGGATATCGAGATATCGAGTAGTGTTTGTAGAAGAATATATGAATTCAGTTATGTTAATTAGGCTAATACATAACACCCTTTGTTTCAATATTTGTGTGTGAACTTTTCTTAGCCATATAAGCTTTTGTTTTTTTCTCGAAGCATACCAGGTTCTTCATCAAAAATAACTTACAGTGTGCTCATGTAGTAGAATTGTTGATTGATTGTGTGGTGCTTCAACTTGTATTTTCGTGCTTTTTACATCAGTGCTCTATCGATATTGCCTATTTGCTTGTATGACGAAGATGTGTAACCAGTGTGTAGCATTCAGTGATTTATTATTTGTTTTGTTTTGTTTTGTAAGGTAGTAAATTACATAAAATATCTGACTCATTAGTTTTTAATTTTGACAAAAAATTTCGGAATAATATTATTTTTTTTAAGGGCTTAGGTAACTAAAAGAAATTCTTCAGATAGCTTGTGAGAACAAGTCAAACTACATGGGAATTTGCTTCAAGGTACCAGCAGTTCATTTGCTGAATAGATGGAAAACAATATGTATGGCTCACTCACACCCCACGTCATGTGCACATAGACAATGCACTCTTTTCAAATATTGTTTTCAATATTTAGATGACCCATACAGTTTTGCATGCTTTGGGTAGTGTTATTATGTAATTTTGTGAAAGCTGAACATGCAGTGGCGCTCTCAGTTGTCAGCTAGATGGGGCTAAGCTAATATTACCTGTTATAGTTTTGCCATCATCCCTTTATTCAAGGATCAACCTTTCAATGTATCAATATACAATTTGCTGAAGACATGTTTGGTACTTGCTATCTGTGTGTGATATAACGTTTGTTCGTGTGAAAGTAATTTTTTGTGGCATCTTTTATATATGTATCTGCAATGACAACTGTTCATGTCACTGACACAGAGGACAAGTTGCAGTGCAGAATTGGAGCTGTCTTCCTGCAAGCCTTGACGCGCCTTATCGAGTGGTAGGCATTTCTTCTTTTTGTTATCACAGTGGGACATTTCGGACACATAGCACCTATTGAGAAATGGGTACTGATTTTTAGCTTAGGTGTGGGAAGCCTATGTCCTGCACTTCAGTGTAGTATTCCTTGGACATGGAACATGTATAATTTTGTTTGTAATCCTTGAACTTGCATTGCTGCCAGAGCCAACGTTGTGACACTTGGAGATGTCTGAATAGTAAGAACAGCTGTTTCTTGTCACTGCTGTCTTGACAAAGACTGATCTACTTGTTGAATAGTTGCACAAAGAAAAAGTACAGTAATGTTTGTGAGATATTTACCTCAATAATAATTAGCCCAGTATAACACAAGGATGAGAACGGTGCTCCCTATTTAAACAAAATGGGTTATTGCAATAGAACTACAAAAAGTAGCAGTGGTGATGCTCACCCTGTATATTTTATTGCTATGGTTGCAATAAACCTGTTTATATAAAGCTAGGGCATGTGTTGTGTTCTCTCTTCTGGTCTTTGTGTTACATTGTGCTAAATATCACATAACTGGGATGGTTGGCTGCAGCAACATTTCCTGTTATAGGAGTTGCTTGTGTTTCCAAGTTTACTTCATTTTCTAATCAACATCTAATTTTTTTGACTCCCATAAAACTGTGCAGTGAAATCTTACTTATAATCATGGTGTTTCGCTTATTTTTATGATGAACGCTTTTACCTTCCAATTTTTTTGTTTTATTGAAAACAAAACGTTCCATTAACAAAGTTTTTTCTACAAATAAAAGTGTCAATTATTCATTTGCACTTTTTAAAGGGACAGTAAACAGCCTTCAAGTCCGAAAAGTAATGAAATATAACAAGCACACTTTTGCTGTGTGCACATGATGCCCAAAAAAATTGGTGAATTCGTGCTTAAGGAAGTTACAGCGGTTCTTGTTTCAGCTGGTTTTCAAATTTTCACACGTATGAGCAGATTCGTAGTATTTTTATAGGTTGTAGCGCACTCGTGTTTAAATTAGCCTAATGCAACATGGAAGTACCTATTTCTTTTCAACAAAGTTTTCTTACATAATTTATATGCCTGATAGTTTGATCATCTAAAACATGGACAGCTTTTCTTGGAAGGCAGTAGCTACTAATCTTTCATCACATTGTTTGGAACATGTTGCCACCACAATCTATAAAAATACCGTGAATCTGTATGTCACACAGCTCGCAAGACAGATCAAGGCCTACCACACAGAGAAGTGTAATTTGTATGATAGTGCCTTGAATAGACCCGCTGGGCCTTAAAGTTCAATACTTAAATGAATTTCTACTCTCATGGAAGTAAATATGTGTTAACCATACTGGGCTAGTTGGTACGTACTTGGAAGAAAACAGGAGTGCAAGAAAATACATGGACAGCTGCATCAATTATTATTTCTGTGTCAGCATCCTAGCTTGTACTGCTGTCCACTCCTGAGTGTACACTTTATTACCTCGTTTAGCTTGTGCATACACTCTCACTTGTATTATCTCTGTGACATATGGTTTCAAGCAATATCTTTGGCATCTCCACGATTTCTAACATAGTCGTGAGTTCACTACTGAATGGTGCTCTTTCCTTAAATACTTGATTAATGCTAGTGTTTGGTTGAGTTGGTATTCTTCACCTAGAAACTTTCTACAGTACGGCAAAATATGAACAGAGATAAGGGAGACGACACAACGTAGCACTAGTTTGTGTTGCTACCCTTTTGATTGTTCATGTTTTACCTGCTGTTGAAATTTTTCTTTAGAAAGGGTTGCTATCCTTATTCTATCAAGATGTTCAGCAAGTACCAACACACCCCAGTGTGCATTCTTCTGCTTGTTAATGACCAGAGATCAATTTCATAATTTGCAATATTTGCTAGCGAACATTCACAACTGTGCACTCTAAAGCATGTAGCTAGAAATTATATTTCCATTTTTATAAAACTTTTGACGCCTTAAAAGATACCTAAAAATATATTTTAGCTGTCGAATATTACACAAAAGTAGTCAAGGGTACAAAAATCTTTAGGCTTGCTTCATGTAATCTGTTGCTTGTCGAAAGATGTGTAGAAATGACCTGTAACGTATTACAACATGATATCTGTGTAATATATTGTAGGTTACAGAAATAGCCATTTTACTATTATTTTCACTAGGGTTTAAATTTGTGTATCTCTATCCCCAAGATGTAGCTCTACATTTCGTGTGCCTGTTTGAAACTCAATTTCGCCTTGCACATAGAAGTGCGCATGGGGTGGGGGGCAGCCACCCCCCCCACCTAGTTACCTAAAGTGGGGGCCAAAAAAGTAGAAGCTTACTTAACTAAGTAAGGGGGAAGGGGTGCTATGGTAAACCTCCGCGCCACCCCAGGGTAGGGAAAGCTTGCGCACACCTATGACATTGCAGCTCGGAGCATGAGCTCTCAAGAGTTTGCTGTTAAAGAAGATGGATTTTAGTGTGAATGTCTTGTGTAAAACAAGTATGTGGAAGAGACCTACTGATGCATGCCGTAGTCATAAATGGAGTGCCATCAAAATCATGAAAGGCGGTTATTCTGCAATATTGCATTAGAGAAGCTGACTGAGCTAATTCCTCTGTCAGTGATAGCTGGCATCTCTCTGATTGCTGATGATTCTGCAGCCCTCTGAACTGATAATAGTGGTTAGTTTTCTTTCTTTTGTTTTTCAAAGCAGTGTGAAGTCAAGCCTATGTAGTTGGGCATTGCATCCAGAGGGATTATTCAATAAAGAATGTTAAAAATTTATCATTATTTAGAAATGGCATAAGTCATCAATTGCAATGTCTATTCATGTTCTGCACTAAAATGTATGCGTCAGTGCCTACAAAATTTTCGCGTTCTCTCTTGCAGGTTTTATATACAGCAGTGGTGCCACGAGAACGGTGCTACAAGAAACCCTTTCATCAGTGCAAAGTCAAAAATGAAATAGAAATGCAATTACGTTAGGAAAGGCTCAATCGGTGTTACTTTGTAATTATGAAATGATGCTTTAGGAAAAATCGGAGTGCGTGTTTTCAAATGCGGACATTATTTATCGGCGTTGAAATATTCTAACATCTAAAAGCATTAAACTGTTCATTTGTGTAAATGGTCTGCTGGTATTTGTTTTGCAATCCTGTAATTTGCGCACACTTTTCAATCCTGTAGTGTGTGCACACTTTTATATTATTAATGAAACGATTTATAGATCTGCGTGCTGCAAATGTGCTCTTGATGGCATCGGGCCTAAGTCGTTCGATGACGTGGGAAGTCAACCTAATGCATATGTGCGATAGCACTTCACTAGACAACGGATATCAGAAACTCGAATGTCAGGACTCTATAGACGAACGCTAGGCAATGGTCCTCAGAAACTTGCACGTCGGGCCTCTATAGACTTACGCTAGACAAAGCTCATCAGGAACTCTAATGTCATGACTCTATAGACTAACTGTGACCAATTATTACTAGACTCACAGTAGGTACGCATTAAAAGACGCACTAGACTGACATTTAGTTATTTTTTATTTGCAGTACTGCCAGTCTCTACTGAGACCACAGCAGGTGGCTCTCTGTACAGATGCTATCATTGCTCATCATAGTAAAAAAAAATGTAATACAGAACATAAAAGCAGCATCAACCTGGCACTTTGTACATCAGCAATATTTACACAACATAATAAACAAAATACAAGTGCATACAAAAATGGCAAGTTTAACAATAAGGCCACTTACATGGCTGCTTACAGAACATACAAATAGTACATACTGGTATCATTTCCATTGTCACTGGGTATTTAAAGAAGCTAGGAATTGTTTTCAATTCCTGACTAAAACATTAGACAGTTAATTGATTGTGATGTCGAACGACATTAGTCTGTTTATAAATGCAAATTAATTTGTTTCGTAGGAGCCATCTAATGAAGCACGGAATTATCACTGAGCCCAACGTCCAACCCACGCTCCAACATGCTTACCGCGTGTCGCAGAAGGAGCAGGATGCCATCCATCATCAAGTGAAACAAATGCTCGACGACGACGTATACCAACCATCGACAAGTCCTTGGGCGTCACCAGTTGTTCTAGTTAAAAAGAAACATGCTTCATTACGATTCTGCGTCGACTATCGCAAACTGAACAAGATGGCGAAAAATGACGTATATCCTCTTCCTTGTATTGGTGACTCCTAGGATCGCCTGCGACACGCCCGTTACTTCTCTTCTATGGATCTCCGTAGCGGATATTGGCAGATTCAGGTAGATGAATGGGACCGAGAAAAACAGCGTTTATTACACCTGACGGTCTCTATGAATATAAAATTCTCCCTTTCGGCCTGTGCTCCACTCCAGCCACATTGCAAAGAATGATGGACACAGTTTTATGTGACCGGAAGTGGCACTCTTTTAGAGTGTATTTACACGATGTAGTAGTTTTTATGCGACTTTTGAACAACCCATTGAACGGCTTGAGGCGGTTCTTCTGGCTATTCGCACTGCCGGCCTCTTTTTGAAGCCGAAAAAGTGTTGTTTTGGAAATGAGGAACTTAAATTTCTCGGCCACATTGTCAGCAGCAGTGGTATTTGCCCCGATTATGAAAAGGCTATGGCAGTTGCTTTGTTCTCGATAGCTAGAACAAAGCATGATGTACGCCACTTTCTAGGACTTTGTGTTTATTACCGCCACTTCGTGCCAATTTTTTTTGAAAACCACGGATCCTTTACAACAAATCGTCAAAAACGACATCACCTTTATCCGGGGCTTCAAAGAACCCGACGCTTTCTGCGACCTTAAACAACGCCTACCTGGGTGCTTTTGAGGTATTGTTGACAAAGGTGGCATAGCCTGTTTACGTTCACCCTACGTTGTTGAGTTCCTGTTTCTTCGCAATCCCACCATGTCCCTCTTGCTTTTTTCTAACGCTTCTTCCTCCTTCTTTTCTTTGTTTTTGTTGTTGTTAATATTTTTTATCCTCTTTCCTGCTGTCTCGAGAAAACACAAGACGACACAAAAATGTGTGCATAGTATTATGCCTTGAAAAAGATGAAGCTTCCGTCAAAGGTTGCACGGCGGGCTTGTTGGTTATTCATGTTGTTCGAGGTATAGCGCATCCAGAATTTCTGATGAACTTTATTCAGCAGTCCGTCAAAACGTCTGCTGAATAAAGTTGTTATGTGAAAGCGCATCTGCTTTTATACTTAGAGCCTTCCGGCACCCCAAGTTGTTCTGCACATAGGGCTTATATATATATATATATATATATATATATATATATATATATATATATATATATATATATATATATATATATATATGACACTACGATGACTGGGACACGTGGCCTGGCTCATACGTCATGCTTATTTCATTCTCACTTCTTCCATCTCGGCTTCTACTTCTAACTCCTAACCATCGCTACCTCCTTACGTTACAGGATGCCTCCTCCCTCCGGGAAGAAGTCGCTTCAGACACTTAACAAAACAACAAAAACGGGTGTTAAAGCGAGCGAAAAATGTCGAAATGCACCATAGTTCCATTTCAGAAGGGAGTTCCTTAAGTGGCACAAAAAATCTACCGCAAAGGAAAGCAGTCCGACTATATCTAAGAGAACTCGGGTGGACGAGGCTGGCTGTTGCGTCCTAGATGGCATAACCCCGCCCTGCACATCTGCACTGATGATGACACGACTTGAGGTCTTGTGAGGAGAACGAACAAGGCTCGAAATCTGTGTAGCATTGAGTTGACGGATGTCTTTGGCTTCGGATTCAGCGCCGTCGTGGCAACAGACGCTTTGCTTCTAGTCGGCGTGCGTGAGAGCCAAGGCTGATGGGAGGAAGTCTTTTTTTCTCCTTTGTATACGTGGTAGCTTCATGCCTTTTTCGTAACTTTCTGTGGCGTTCTCTCGGTTCGTTGGATCGCAGACACGGCCTTGAGAACTGGTGCAGAAAACATCGTCGACGTTGCTTTCTGCGATGATGGCTTAGGCATTCACTTCGTCTTTGCTTTTTTTTAATTGTGTTGTCTCTTATGACCTTTAAGCCACACGTGTACTCGTGAGGAGGTTTCACTTGATCGTTGTTCTTGTTCGAGCAGCCGTTGTAGTTCCTGGAGTTCGTGGAGTTGCCTTTGTTGAAATTGCTCGTTCTGTTGTGAAAGTTGGTCAGATGGGCATCTCTCAGGAACATGAGTCTGCATTTCTTTGCATGGTGCTGTGATCAGTAGATAGTCGGTGGTCGATACTGTACTGCAGGGCTTTTCTTGAGATAAAATCAGTGTGGCAGACTGTTGGGAAAGCTTCCCAGATCTTTGTGTGTCATCATTCATTGTAAATGTTTCTGTAAGTTCACAATGTGCCGGCTTTGGTGGATTCGAAACTGCTGTAGTGCTTCGACTCGCATGCGTGTTATCACTTGAAGATGAGAGCACAGCAGACATGGCTTGAGGTGCTTCTGATGACATTTGTTTTTCTTTTTGCTGCGTAATTGAGCTGAGAACGTCTTTTGAAAGAATCTGGTCTTGAACATCAGAATGTGGGCTGGTATTGTGAGAATTCATGAACTCGTCACGCGTAAATGCCGTCACACGTTCGAAACTATCTGGGCCTTGTGTGTGACACGAAGCATCGTGGGATTCGGGTGGTTCAGTAACATCTGAAGTGTTGTGGTGCAGTGAACACGTTGAAAATGCTGATTTCATTGCTCTTGGAAAAGCCGGCTTTAGGTTTATTATTTTGGCGAAACGGTCTAGATTCCTTTCGGTATACGGAGGCTTTACCTTGTCTGTTGAGACATGCAAGTTACCAGTCGGTGTCCAAATGGGTGATGTTTTTTCGGAAGAGTCATACGATAGTGCGATGGTGGTATATTTTCCCTGAGGTCTCGTTTGGAAAATAGGCCTACTGCGGGAAGACTTCGCGTAACTGTTATGGGTGAGTTGAAAAGCCTTCCGCTGATGAGGTATGCACAGATCTTCATCGTATTCTTTGAAACGGGTGATCATTTCTTCTTTGATATTTTTCCAAGATTCATCGTTATCGAAGATGTGCGTGAGGTAAAATTTGAATGCCTCACCTGAGATGTAGTCAGTGAAGTTGGTGATCATCTCCCGTTCCGACCATAATGCAGCGGCGGCGTGGAGCTCAAATAGGTTGAACCAGTCCTGTACGGGTTCGTCGCCGCTGCTCCGGTGTACTTTGGGATGTCAAAATCAGCCGATGGTTCTGTCATGGTGCTGGTCACTGTGTGCGGCTAAGAGATGATTCCGTAGTCGATGTATGGTCAGGGCGTCTTGTGGAGAACTGCGTCGATGATGAGACACTGATGAAGTGGCTGGGAGGTCTTCATCCTGTCGACTCGTGTGACGCTATGATAACTGGGAGACGTGGCCTGGCTCATACGCCATGTTTATTTCATTCTCACTTCTTTCTTCTCGGCTACTACTTCTAACTCCTAACCATCGCTACCTTCTTACGCTACATATATATATATATGATATCTAACAGACAATGATGCCTAGGAAAGTATTGGGGCATATATTAGACCAAATCATAATGTGAATATGAAGAGAGAAAAGTGGGTGAAAAGACAACTTGCCATGGGCAGGACCCGAACCAGCGACTTTCAAATGACGCGTTCGATGCTCTACCACTGAGCTACCACGGCAGCTATACCCCCACTCGTAATTAGTTCACGTGCGACGATACGCCAAACAGGCTCAAAAGAGTGTGCCACACTCGCCGTCATGGCTACTGGTGGCGCTGACTGACACTCCAACGTTTCAATTCACATGTAATCTCAATAATGCGGCTGGGGGAGTACTGGCAGGCCTCAAGTGGCAAATATGTCTCGTATACCTGGACGATGTGGTCGTATTCGCCTCCAACTTTAGCGACCGCCTGAAAAGGCTCCGGACGGTACAGGACGCAATTAAGTCATCAGGGCTGACACTGAAGCAAGAAAAATGCCATTTTGCCTATGAAGAACGACAGTTCCTTGGCCCTATTATAAGCAAAGATGGCGTAAGACCCGATCCTGAGAAGACAGCCGCTATCGCACAGTTTCCTCAGCCGCAAGATAAGAGAGCAGTGCGCCGATTTTTAGGACTGTGCGCCTA